TTTTACGTGAAAAAATAATTATTTTTAATAAATATAAATAAATTTAATTATTAAAATAAATAATAAATAATTGAGATTCTAAATAAATATAATTTGTAAATCTTATATAAAAATAAATTATTATTAAAAAAATAAAATGATAAAAACTAATGAAAAAAGCCATCAGTCGCCGCTTAGGATTTTCGCCCTCATGGGAGCTTCTGCGTTTCCTTTGGATTGTCAATCCTTTTTTTCCGTTTTCCTTTGTTCTAGTGAAGGTTTCACTCTAATTCCACAAAAAAGAAAAACATATTTATATTATGAATCACTCTTTCAACAAGACCCACCGGAGCTTTAGGTGAGGGTGACCAATGCCCTGCCACCATGCCCCACCTCCTTACCCCCTCAACCTAACCTCCATTACCAATTGAAGATATAACCTTATTTAAACTTTTAAATTAGTTATAATCTATTATGAGATTAGTAAATATTAGTTTGTGTTACAAAAAATTAAATGAAAAATATTTAAATTTATGTCGTTTTAATAAATTATAACAAGAAAAACTAAAACAACTTTATTTTTACTTTTTTTTTTTTTTTGGAGGAAGGACAATGATAATTATATTGTATTGAGATCCAAATCCTTTATGGGACAATTACAATCCCAACTTAGGCATTTTTAGGGCTATACACTCAATAAAAATCAAATACAAATATCCTTTCTATCTACTTTCATCTCCTAATAGACCAATCTAATGTGCCATATAATTCTACTGATAACATCATGCTCAAAACTATTTTCCCTAGTAGTGATTTTGTTGTTACATTTCATCCAAATGAAATAAATCATAATAGAGAATGCATTGTGTATTAGCTAGATGACTAATGTGCAAGATGTCTATAAATATGCAACTAGTTCAATACCTCTTGCCAAACCATCTTACCATAAGTACTTGTAAAAAATAAGTGCTCCCTATCTTTAGCTAACTCTCACATGGTGTACAAGAGTCTACCACATTCAATCCCCTCCTCCTTAGATTATCTTTTGTCTTTAATCTATCCAAGACAATGAATCAAAGAATGAAGCTATACCAAGGTATAATTCTTTTACCTCACACCAATCTAAACCAAGCCACATATGCTGCCTCCTTCTCCTTAAATTCTCATAGAAATTACTGATTGAAAACATCTCACTTTTGCTGAATATATATCCAAATAGGGCTATCTTTGTTGAATAGCAAAGAGTGTGCTTGAATTCTTAAAACAACATTTGGGAACCTTCTACGAAAACTTACATGAATACACAATTGACCTTACTACCACCAGTCACATACCTACAGATTCCTTCCCCAATTACTTACATCTACTCTATCGAGGATCTCAAATAAAAACATTCACTACCAAGCCATTTATCAAAAAACAATGAAGTTTGCTTACCATCACCTAATTGTATGATAATAAAGGGTCTAATCTCTTCTCTGAGTTTGAGAAGCTTCTTCCACTACCAAGAATAACTTGATGGTTCTGTGGTACTCCACAAACTAGCACCCTTCATATAAATAAAGTTAACCTATCTAGACTATATGGTATGCTTTTTAGCACATAATTCTCATTAGAGTTTACCAATTGCAACTCATTCCTATTTTTTAATGAAATTTTAAAACTTACGATATTTTAATTTTTTTTAATATTAATATTTTATTAAAATAAAATAATTGAAAGTATATTTTCACATAATTTTTTATAATATTTGTTAATACTTAATCTGGTGATTTCTTATGTTTTAATTCAAAAGGTTATTGTAGACTTTTCAAAAATACTTTAGTGCACTTAATTATGACAAATTTGACTTGTGCTTTGGCACTCATATGAGATGGTAAATTTTATTTCCACTCAATTGGGAGCAAAATTCTCACCAAATCCCTCAATACAAAATTTCCCAATTATTTAAAGAGTTAAGGCAGATTTTTGACGTCATTCAAAGTTTTTTTTTAACACAGCTAAAATCATATTAATATAACAAAACCATTATGACATCATCAAAAGAAAATTTTTATTTAATTGGTAAGAAATTATAATTATATAAAATTAGTACGTATTAGTTTCAATTCTCAAAAAAGTTAAAATCTCAACCTATACTCGAAAACTAAAATTTCATCTTATTAAATGTTAATATCTAAATTTGAAAACTCATTATATATTTTAATATAATTAATTTTTAAATCTAAATATCAATTTAATAAAATAAAATTTTAAATTTTAAATTAAATTTTAATTAAATAAAATGATGTCATTTAAGATTTGGACTTTAATTTATTTTTAAAATTGATATACTAATATACATTTGTCCCTAATTATATATATGACATTATGTACAACTAAAGGTATAAAATAAAAATAAAATAAATTTAATATTAATTTTATATTAAAAAATAGTAAATAGATCACAAGAATAATTTAATAAAAAAATAATATTTACATATTTTTTAAGTCTAACGTTCCAATACTATTGAACATCTTTTAATTTATTCTTAAAATGAATTAACACAATCTCCATGGTACCGTGACTAGAAGGTCCATGCTAACAGTGACGAACCCCTAATATCTTCTGTATTGTCTTCACCATAAATGAACTAAACAAACAAAACAAGAAAATGAGGAATTGGAAAAAGAAAAGAAAACAAAGACCGCTAAAAAGGGACCACAAAAAAAGTTGATAGATCACTAAAGGTGGTCAACAGATTAAGGAGTACGATTGGTCGGCTCCATCATGCTAGAGAAGCCGTAGGGCTTCCGAGCACCAAAAAACGAAAGAGCTTTGGAAAGTTTATAGCTAGAAGCAGAAGGGTTCTAGAGTAATGAGAGAAAAAAGTGATAACACCTTTCAAGTTTTTTTTTTTTAACAGATATAATTTAAGATAGAGGATAGAGAATTGTAACGTGACAATGTCATAATTTAAATTTTAATTATTGTTAAAATATTAGATGCACTCATCAAATAAGCTTTGTTCAAGTTGAAATTGATGAATATGTGAAAAGGCATAAATATGACATAAGGACTCAAACTTACACAAAATTCACAATGTTGGACCCAAACTTACACAAAATTCACAATGTTAGACCCAAACTTTAATTACATTCAATTAAGGTTTCGAAACCGCATGAAATTCTCAAATAAAGTCTCAATTAGATGGAAAACTAACTTCCGTCAAATCTAACAAACACCGTTAATGTCTGTCACACTCCATTAATTGACTTTGTGACGCTGTTTGTCATTGGC